TTAAAGTGATAAATAGGAGGGGGTTGCTGCCGTTTGATTGTTCTTCACAGGCAGTCTGGGAGCAGCAGCACAGGGGGATTTAAGGTGGAGGAATCCTCTCAAAGCTCCTCATTCATTCACTCTCAGACGCCCCATCATTAATTGGGCCTGTCGACATGGCTCCTCTGTACCCAGGGCCACTGGCTGCTACTGTGGTGGATGAGCTTTTTAAGACAGTTCAAAAGAGTCCTTGCCTCATGAAAGGCATTCAAATTACATGAAATTGCATTCATGTCAAGCCTTGCAGGCATAGTCATACAGTACAYGAGCATAATGTCTTCTTTCGTGCCCTGCATGTCTGTGTTACTATAATATATTTCTCTTGGGAACAAACCATAACCTAAAATGTTTACTTTATTATCTGTAAATACAGAACGTCTCATTATTATATCGACTGTATGCATTGTGTGCAAATATGCTGTATCTAGAAACTTAATGGCATTATATGCTACATTATAACTAAAAACTTACAAAATGTACATTATTGGACAAATGAAACTAGATTTTTGTTTTTACAAATCAAGTTCTAATGACTCTTAAACTGATTACTTTGAATTAGAGATCTTCTTTTTTCATAAAACATGATTATTACTTAAATAGAAACCTAAAAACATATTGGTACACTAACCTTTAGCGTAACTGAACTGGAAAAAAAAATAGATTTTGACTTTGAATTTCTATATTTGATGTTCAATGGCTCTCACTGTACATTTAAAGAACAGAACGACAGTGTGGCACACTTTCCAYCTTACTTATCTCCCTGGAAGTGGTTATGCAGGACAAGGTGAGTCCAGCCTTCAAAACTTTGTGATTTCTACCGATGTTTAGTTGGAAGGTTACAGCAGACAGAGGCCAGATTTGGTTCACCATGCCAACTGTGTGACGCTTAAGTATTTATAACCATTAGAGGCTGTATATATGTCACAAAGTACAGGGGGCTCTTTTTTAAGTTGGCCTAAAAAAGAACCCACTACTCTACATCACTTCCGTCCTTGTCTTAGTATTGTTTTATTTCCTGCTAGAACTGATGACCCCAACGTCAAAGATCGGTTAAACTCTAAAAACTATACTCTATATAACTGATGGAACTATTTGTAATTTGTTTTTTGTTTATGAGAATTCAGTCTTACAGATAACATTAGAAAAACAAACACCAACACATTAGTGTGGTTATTGAAGGAAGGCGCTTTTCGTAGGCTGCACTGGTGTGGTCTTTGGTAAAGCTGTCAAACGTTTAGCACAGACTGGKATTGAAGGACTACTCCATGTTTGCTTCCAAAGAGAACTCACACAAAGTTTTAAAGTTAGTCCACCATTTATTTCTAAAGCCACTTCTTAAGGCATTATTATATCCACCTTTTGCACTGTCATTTTAGACGTCGCACTAAAGCTATTTGCAGTCTCACTCTTTCTCTCTTCACGTTTCACAAYCTTTTTCCATCGCACACATTCAGTATCTTCCTCTTACTTTTCCCYTTTTCCTCCTCCTCTGCCTGTCATGTAAGTGCTTTCTGTTATGGCAGCGGGAAGGCTACCCGCAGCGGGAGAGATCCTAATTAACAGGCTATTCATTTGTGGGGAGCGGAGGGCTCCTGCTTTCTGAGCACTTGTTTTATGGTGGCGCTAGGGAGCTCTGTCCAGGGATTTGGAGGGGGATAATTGCCTTTGCCGCAGGCTGCAGTAATCTGGTCGGCTAATTCATTATTTTAATAAGTTAGCTTCTCCTCAGGGGTGTGCTAGCTGCGCTGCGCCTCAAACCTTGGTGGTGCACCTCGTTATTGTGGCGCTCTTTTACACCGACGCCCGCACGGGGTTAATAACTGTTATTAGCCTCTCTCCTCAGCCAGCAATTTCTCGTTTAACTAGGGCGATTCAAACGAAACCTTTGCGTGCGTCTAATAATCAACCTCTCTGGAACCAGGGGTAATCCCTACGAAGGGGTCCATATACTGGAGAGGGGTAATGGATGCAATCGTCTGAGTGCCTGCGACTCCGCTTCTTTCATYATAGGTCCTGCTGTTGTTTTTGTTGTTCATGCTGCTGATGTTTCTATTCAGTCCCTTCAAAATCATTTGAGGGAAGAAATATTTGCTTTGAGCAAGGAAAGTGGATCTGATTTATACATTCGAATAAGATGATCATTAGCTTTGCGTAACTAATGGCTTCATTTAGGCCATAATCTTCCATCTCTTTAATGGGCTATGCATTCAGCAGGATGTGTCTGTAGAGGCAGACAGGTTTATTGGCTCCAGAGTATTCAGACATTTTTTTTGTGCATTGACTGATTAAAAACCAGTCATTTCAACAAGAAGGGATAAAAGAGAGGGGTTCATGAATAGGAGTTTTTTGAAAAATCCAATATTGGAGATGGTGATGGCTAAATGTTTGAAGGAACCTGCTGTTAAAATCCAATTATCAGTACAGAACAAAGTGGTTAAAGGTTTTTGAATGCACATATTGAATACATTATTTTACTTTGTGATGAAAGGAGATATCCTAATTCACTTTAGAGGGAAAAAAATACAATGCAGACAGGAAATCTTGTTATGTGCCCTGTGATATCCCTGCTTTGCATTTGCCAATGACAAAGTGGGAAAAGAATACAAGATACAACAAAAACAGCATCTGTACAMATCAGTTCAAAATGCACTCATGTAACGAGTTCATCTGCGACTCGTATCAACATCTTATCTCAATGAATATGCATAACTATTTTGACATGTTGGTAAAAACTGATCAACAGTAAATGTTAAAACAGTTAACTGTGTTTTAGTGCCCATCTGTAATGTGTTTGGTGTCCTGTGCTTCTCTGTTCACATGATCTCTGACACTAATCCTGTTACCTTGTTTAGCTGTCATCATGCAGTTACCTGCCAGCTACTGTGAAATGAGTTTGTGGATATTAAGAGAGACTATCTCTCCATCTGTACTTAACCATAGTGGAGTGATATGCTGAACAGCCCATGTGCCCCTGGACAACATTTCCATGTGGGATGGAAAATGTTAAACAGAGCAGGTCCAGATTCTTTGTTCAGTCGTATGACTGAAAGAATAACATTTCCACTAATGCATTTTCCCATCGACCCAACAACAATTAACTCACCTGAGGTATTGCTCAATGTTTATCCAAGAGTGTAACAGCCTGCAAATGGCTCAGCGTGATCATTTAGCACTTTTATCTGCATCTAAAAGTTCAACTTGTTCTGAGCCGCACCCGCTTGTGCACACAGGAGTGTTGTGCTCCATAAAGTGCGCACGTGATATTAAACAGTCTGGTTCACTATTAACTATAATCCACTTGCGTGTCCTTCCTGACTGGCCACATGTGGAGCTCGAGCTGAGAGCCGGCCTTTGGGGCTGCCTCCGGCTTCTTCAGGGCCATAGTTTTTCAAAGCCCACGCTGCCATCTGCTACACCAGCATCCTTGCTCTCCCCAGACTGACATGGCTACAACCGGGACTGMAGAGACCCACACCCAGGTGTTATGACAATATTAATCATATAGATATAGAATAATCTATAAAAAAATATATGTGAAAGTTGAAACGCAACAATACTCTGCTATGTTATTTCTGCACAGGGACGGAAAAAAGCTTTCTTTTCCCCATCATGGATACATCATATTTGACACTCCTCTGTGTAAGGCAGTATTGATCAATGATATCAGCTGATGTTTATTTAAAAACTGCTGGAGTGGCATAGCTCAGGCCAACAGTCCTGCCCACCATAAAGCCGYTCAGCTTAGCATGACTGGCTGCTAATGAGTGGTCCCTCCTCTCATCACCCAATCTTAGTCCCTCCATCCCACATTCATCAATTCTCATTAGCAAAAATCATCATGTGGAATACCAACTTTTGGCCAATATTCATCACTGTCAGCCCTCATCCATAGCAGCACAATGACAGAGTAGAGCTTGAGTAGCACTGACTTAGCTCTTTTATTCCCTAATCTCACCCTCTGTGTTCATGGAACTCAAGCAACTTTTTGCAGGGAGGTTTCCCCTGTCTTTGCTCTGTAGTGTCACTGAACACACACACACACACACACACACACACACACACACACACACACACACAC